GAACATTTTGACTTACGAACACCATTCCATTACGGATTAAGTTCGTAAGTCAAGGCACCACTGTACAACCAAGTTGCTTTTTTACAAAGAAGAAATAAAGAAGTCCAATGTTCCATGCAACAGTTTGTATGCAGACACCAATATACAGAAATTAAAATTTTAGAAAACATTACTATGACATACGAACAATACTCTGCAGCATGGGCGGATAACACATAGGCTGCATGCAGCCTTACAACCCACCATAACTCAGATGGCTGCTGAATTTCAGGCCAAAACCATTTTGCACCATTTTAGATCTAACCATTTCAGATCGCCACTAAAAATGTTGGTGATCACAATATGCAACACAGCTTAAAAAGTGCTCCTACATACTCTGAAACACATAATGGAGTACTCTCAAGTTTTATACAACAGCATGCACTTGTTCAAATTTTGGCAGCATGGGAAGGGTGCAGGTCAACAAAGGGAGTCCTCCACGTTGCCCGTCCTCACTTTGCAAAACCTAGATTAATACTACTTTAAATTTAAAATGAGGAAAAGTGCCAAAGAAATATGACTTTAGCTCAATCACAATGCAAGAGTGCAACAATCACACTTTTACAGTATTATAAATGCTGATGACATGATTTCTTTGTCTATAAGACCATGGCTACACAACTCCCACTTAAAAAACACACCCACCCACCACCTCAAAGTTACAGCCTTTTAAACCTGCTGTGTTACATCCAAGTTCTTGGAACATGGCTTCTCAAAATAATCAGTCAGCTGAATGCCTTTCCCAGCACCGACTGTCCTCTACTGGTCTATTTACAATAGGAGTCGGCTTCTCAGAGCCTGAGATGCCAATAATTCGCCCACATGCAAAGTTCTTCTGGTAGGGAAGCAAATAATCCAGCACATTCTGTATAATAGTAATACTGTTATTTTCAAAGGAACCATGTCCGCATCTGGCAGCAGTAATTTCAGAGCACTGTGCAGAAGCAAAGCATGGAGGGAAAATTGCCCTGTGTCTGTAGTCTATTCCCGTTTGGCAATAAATATTTAAACTATGTTACTGATTCCATGACAGTACTTAACCTCTTAATTTGGACAAATTTTCCTGAAAGCACAACAGTCAAATGACGGAAGGCTTCTCTGGTTAATTCTATAATGTCAGATAAAATACTGAACACAAAATAGCAATCATGTTGGTCATGATCCACTCTGTAATGTATCATCGTTCATTAAAGAGGCAGAAGCACAAAGTATTTCCAGAGATTTAGTCCACAGTTCAGCTAGGTATGGTCAAATCTGGATTGTCTCAAGTGGTAAAAACATGAGTTCTGCCTTTTCCAACTTCCATTTTACTTTTTAAATATACAGGGGGGGGGGGAAATCCCCCCCGAACAAAACCAAACCAAACCGCAAAACAAATATGTTCACATCATTGATTTCCCCACTGGATACAATGGTGCCTCGCATAACGAGTGCACCGTATAACGACGAATCTGCATAGCGATCCCTTCTCCAGGATCGCTAATGCGGAGGCATAGTGTCCGTCCCTATGCAAAAAACTCGCTTACCGAAGACAGGCCGAAGACGGGTGCCAGGAAGGAGCCGCCGCCACGAGAGTGATGTGGGGCTGCGCTGGCCGGGAAGAGGAAGGCAGGCTGCGAGGCAGGCAGGCGAAGGGAGGGAAGCCATGCCCTCGCGCGTCCTCCCCCCCCCCACTTTCCTTCTTCCTCCTCGTCCTTCTCCTGACGCCCCCAGGGCCGAAGGCAGGCTGCGAGGCAGGCAGGCGGAGGGAAGCCGCGCGCTCGTGCGTTCTCCCCCCTCCACTTTCCCTCTTCTTCCTCCTCATCCTTCTCCTGACACCCCCAGGGACGAAGGCAGGCTGCGAGGCAGGCAGGCGAAGGGAGGGAAGCCGCGCACTCGCACGTCCTCCCCCCCACTTTCCCTCTTCTCCTCCTCTTGCTGCCGACCCCCCAAGCCTCCCACAGAGTGGGGCAATCAGCTGTTTGGCGGTTCTAAAATGGCCGCCAGACGCCCGAAATGGCCACACGCAGAGTTTTCACGCCCTCCCCTCGCTTACCGAGTACGCGAAAATGGCTGCCGCTATGGAGGGTTCCGTTTAGCGACGATTTCACATAGTGAGGGTTAATCCGGAATGGATTAAACTCGTTAATGCGTTCCAATGGGCTTTTACATTCCGTTTAGCAACGATTTCACATCGCCAGGGTTAATCCGGAACGGATTAACCTCGCTATGGGGGGCACCACTGTATTCTGAAAACACATTTACCATTTGTGTATAAATAAACGAAACCAATGTGAAGTCATTTACTAATTCGGCCATACAGTAGTTCTGTAGGCCAAAAAAAAAGTCAAGGAAAACACAGGTATGAATGGAATGGAAATATAATTAATTAAATATAATAAATGCTGAAATAAAATAAAAAGGGTGAGAATATTAATACAAATACAAAGCATCAGGCCAACAAACAATTTCTTAGTTATAGCAGAACACAACTTATACACCCATACTTTCTTACATGCAAAAAAAAAAGACTAAAAACTTGGGCTTTAGAATAAAATGTCATTTGAAAACCTGCCTCTGAAATACTTTCATAACTTTTTTCTAGCTGAAGCTTAGGCAGACTTGATTAAAACTCCTAAGGGTAACAGCGTATAATTAAGGTATTATGTTACTGGTATCTTTGTAGTTCTATATTAAGTTGTACCTGGAGTAGTACTGTGCTTATAAACATGCAGGCAGCTGCACAGATGAAACAATTAGAGAAATATATAAACACTAAAGCAGAGGCACTGTCAGTATTTCCTTGCAAGGAAAAGAAAATCAAATTAATAATCTAAACCCTTGGAAAGCCTTTGGAAGTGCACACGTTTAAGCTACCAATGTCAATGCCTGGAAGGAATTGCTTCACTCTTCCATGTAATAACTGCCATGCTTGTCCAGTGGCACCACTGCCTCTACTCTTTGTAGCTACTCACCAACCTCAAACCTACCCTGGTCTCAGTAAAGCTCATGTGCTGAGCTCTTACTGCCATTGAGCATGACCAAGGTGTCACGACAGGTTCTGCAGTGTCAGACACTAGATTACACAAAAAGAGGAAGATTTTTTCCTTTTCCTAACCTAATCTTTTTCTTTCCAGACATCCTACCTGCAGAGAAAGCTTTTCTCACTAGGAAAGGAAAACTCAAATTCAGTATGACACTGGAGGAGTATGAAATCACTGCTAGTACAATTGTACACTTGGATTACACCATTTTGCAAGGGGTACCAGGAATGATAATACAAAGACAAACAGTATATGATATAGAATGCTGCCCTAACATAAAAGCACTCATGTAACAACATACTGAATTGGTATCCTCCGAAAATATGCAACTGCTTATGGAATTTAAATGTTTTAGCATAAAACTCCTGATTTGAGACACATATAATCTGCTACAATCAGCCTACAAAAAGTGTGTGAGAATGTCAATATGCACATAGAGGTATTATGTAAGTAAACAACCCAACAACAGATCAGTATTACAGCATCCCATAATAGTTCCTTTCATAAAAGAGCAGGATGCTTCCAAAACAGAAGAGTTTTCCATGGATCAAAAACCGAAAATCATTTGACAATGACAATTATGATGTCATCTACATATTGCTACATAGGAACAATTCTGCACCAATGTATCTGCAGTCGTGTCTACAGTCTCCATCTGGATTGATGACTGAATCAACATATAGAAAAATTTTCATTATTTTAATTTCGTCATTGCTAATATTAAAGTTGTATAGCTCTTCCATAGTCATTATTTTTGTTCAGATTCAATTGAAGTCCTGCTATGGTACTTTCACTTTCCATAAAAATTGTTTCAGGTCATTGCTGCTTTCTGCCAGAAAGATGGTATCATCTATATATCTTAAATTATTGATGTTTCTTCCATAAATTTTCACTCCTCCTTCATCTGATATGTTCTGTGTACAGGTTGAACAGGTAAGAGAACAAAATACACACTTGTCTGACACTTTTGCATATAGGAAACCATTCTGTCTCTCAGCGTTCTGTCCTAACAGTAGTTTCTCATCCACAATACAAGTTACGCATTAGGATAACTAAGCGCTACAGCACACCCATCCCTTTCAGAACAACCCATAGTTTTTCATGATCCACATAGTCAAAGACTTTGCTGTAGTCCATAAAATATATACTGATCTTCTGTAGCCTGCAGATCTTTGTGACATGAGTGCCTCTTTCTTTTCAGAATCCAGCTTGGACATCAGACATTTCTCACTCCATACAAGGTAAAAGCCTTTGATGGAATAATTTGAGCATCACTTTGGTTGAATGGGAAATTAGAGTAATGGTCCTACAGTTATTACATCCCTTGACATCTCCTTTCTCAGGAATCAGAATGTATATTGAACATTCCAGTCCATGGCACAATTTTGTTTTCCATATTTGTTGGCATATTTTTGTTCAGATTTCAATAGATTCAGGCTCTGTGGCTTGAAATTAGTGTCCCATCTAATTATTAGTATCACATCTATTCCTTATGATTTATTTCTTCTTAGTGCTTTCATGGCAGCTTTCATTTCACCTTCTAGAACTACAGGTTCTTCTTCATAGGCTTCTTCAAAGGAATCTGTCATCTTTTTATCTTTACTGTATAGCAAAGCATACAGTTTGCACCTTTTCTTATTTTCTCCTGATCAGATAGTGTGCTTCCCTGTTGGTCTCTCAGCATTCCTAATCTAGGTTTAAATTTCCCTTTGGTTTCTTGGATCTTCTGGAAGAGACCTCATTTTTCCGCTTGTTGTTTTCCTCTATTTCTTTGCATTGGCTATTGTAATAGTTCTTTGTTGTTGAAAAGCTGTATTTCAGGTTCAATCCCCATTTCTGTCATGTTGTCTTTCTGTTGTTGCCTGTCATTTACAATTTTAAGCATTTCCTTGGTCACCCATCTATGCTTTTCTTTTTATTACACTCATTTTTTAAAAAAATTATTTCTGCTTTCTCCCCTAATGAGGTTTCTGGTTTTAATCCACAGTTCTTCTGGCTCATAGTCAATTGAGTTTAGCAATGTAAATCTGTACCTTATGTGGTCTTTAAATTCTTCAGAAATGTTGTTTACATTATATTTTGGCACTACAATTCTTTTAGTGTTCTTTTCCAGCTTTACTCTAATGTTGGATATTAACAGTTTATGATCAGTTCTACAACCTGCTCCTGGTTGAGTATAGACCTAAATGATAGTTATGTAGGTAGGCTTTCCACAGAGTCTGATTTGGTATTATATGGTCAGAGTAGCATTATAGCCCCTGCCTGTGCTACATCTTGTCACAGTATTAAGAGTCAATTTCTTTTGAATTTATCATGTCCAGAGTAGAGCACTCTGTAGTTGTCTGACTGAAAATCCCCCACTCCAGGCAACTTTAGTTCAATGAAACCAAGCACAACAATATTTATATGTTCCATTTCTTGGTTTACAGTTTATCTTGATTCATATTTCTCATGCTCCATGTTCCAATAGTATGTGTTGCGCAGTACTGGACGTTCCTCTCGCTTCTCTGCATGTCAGCAACTAGATATCCTTTCAGCTTTAATATAGTTGTGTCATTAGTGGCATCACTATTTATACTTGTCCTTTGCTATTCCCCAGTAGCTGACTGAGATAAGTAGATAGTTTTCTTAAACAATGGAATATTTTTTAAAAAGGACGTTTGTCTTTAAGAATGGGTAAATGTTACACAACGAGTACTTCCAGCTACTATTTGCTACAAAGAATAATCAAACTTTTCATTTCATTTAATTACCTTCATTTTCCCACTATATTTTGGGTCAGAAATAGTTTTGAAGGCTTCATCTTTGCTAAGTTGCACAAAATCAGGAAACTTGGAAAACACTTCACTGCAGACCCTTGTGATGTGCGCTTCCTAAAATAATATATAAACAATGCAAAACAGATTATTGAAGTTGGATAAATTATCAGTAATTAACATCTGAATGAAAAAGACTGATAATATTTTAGCAGTAGAAAATAGCTACAACTTTAAAAAAATCATACAATCTTATTTATTTCATGTTTTTATCTTTCTCTCTTTCCAAGGATTTCACGGTGACATAGATGGGATAATTCCCTTTCACACCACCAACAACTGTGAGGGCTTATTGGTTGTTGTGACTTGCACAAGGTTATCTTAGCAGCCTCATGCCTCAGCAGGGATTTTAAGGCCAATCTCAGTATAATACAAATGCCTGTGCTTGTAATTCTTGTTATATGGATGACAAAACAAAAGTCCCTTCAATGCTCCCAATATGGAAGCCTACAGCACCTCAACATATTTCATAGGAATTACTCAACTGTCTTCAGGGCTGGAAAGCAATGCCCATCGTCAGAACAAAATGGTAGACACAGTTGTACCTGACACTATGTGTCTTCCACCAGCCAGTCCCTTTTACATAGAAGGATGATTATTAAGGGGTGTGACGAATACAGTGTAATGCAATCCACCAAAGCAAGTGAATACAGTGTGTGGTTTGTTTAAATTTGTAGCCAAAAAGAGAAGGGTGTGGAATGATTAGTAGTGGCTTGGAGAAAAAAAGACTGGCGTGAAAGCGATATTTAGTCTGGCAGGACTGAAAGGAGAGGATGTTAGAGGGCAGGCAGCAAGAAATGGGGGAAAGACTTGCATTAGAATTTGACAGTTTAGGAAGCGGATGGCAGAGAACTGCACAGTCAAATGGAAATTGTTTTTGTCCACCATCCCCCAATTATCTACAAAGCATTCCATATAAGTGGAGAAAAAGAGACAACAAATGTGGAAGTAGCAGCTGCATGAGCACTTTGGTATAGTGCCACGGAAGGAAAAATGTCTAGTTTCTCTGTTGTTCCCACAGAGCAGTGCTTCCCAACCTTGGGTAATCCAGATGTTCTTGGACTACCACTTCCAGAGACCTTCAATGCTAGCTGTGCTGGCCAGGATTCGGGAATCACTGTCCCAGAGCTAGGAAGACAGATGCTAAAATCAGCACTCTTCCAAGAGCCACCATTTGGCATTCTGCAACTATGTTTCCCCTCCCACCATCACTTCTGAAAAGCAAGAAGTGGGAATACGACAGATGATGACATAATTGATCACAACTTCAGTATCTAGCCTACAGTGAAAAGCGCTGGTCCACCCAGCTCTCACCCTAATTTCAGGTTAAGACAGAATTTTTAGGCATATGTGGCTTGCAATTAAAATTGGGGAAGTGCTCTGTCCATCAGCCCACATGTTGCTCATGCTTTTAGGTGGGGCTGCCATTGCTTAAAAGCCAGCAGTCATCTGAGAACAACACTCTATAGTTGTCACTTTGCAGAGAGAAGGAAGGGGTGCAAACAGAGCAGGTGGCAGAGAAGTCGTGGGGTGATGAGTCTGGGTAGAATGAGAGCAGGCCCCATTGCCTCCATAGTTGTAAGAGGTACATGGTGGAAGGGGTACAAGAAAAGCACGAGAGGTAAAGTAGTGAATAGAAATCAGGAAAAGAGAGATGGGGGGTGTTAGAATCCAAGTGTGAAACTAAGAACAGCCAGTGGATTCTTGTAATCGTATTTACAACAATGGACTTAAGCACTGAATAATATATTTCGTTGTAGGACTTAGCACTGCAGTTTCTAATTAGCAGTCTATTCTCACAATGAATGTTAACAGAATGGGAAGCTAATGAGTTACTGAAAGGATATGTGGACTTTTATCAGTCAGCTGCTCCTTCTTCAAAATACTGCTGGCTAGAAGGCTCCAGAAGACGAACCTGCTGTTTGCTCGTGTTGTCTGTCTGCAACAGGGCCACGTGATTAGCAATCTTACGAAGAACTGTGAGGTAACTGAAATACAGCGCCTGCATTGTTTCACCATGGGCATTTGTCTGTAGAAATAAAAAGAATGTTTGAAAAAACAGATTTTAGACAGATTAGAATTATTTGACAAGAGGTAAGTAATGTACACACCACAGATCCACAGTTTCAACTTCTTTTATTCTATAAAAAATGGGGGATACCTGGCTCAGCAAAACTACAAGCAAGAAGGATCTTGGAATTGTTGTAGATCACAAGCTAAATATGTCGTAGATCGCAAGCTAAATATGAGCGAACAGTGTGATGTGGCTACAAAAAAGGCAAATGATATTTTAGGCTGCATTAATAGAAACATAGTTTCCAAATCCCATGAGGTGTTAGTCCCTCTCTATTCAGCACTGCTTAGGCCTCACCTTGAGTATTGTGTCCAGTTCTACACACCACACTTCAAGAAGGATACGATCAAATTGGAACAAATTTACAGGAGGGCAACAAAGATGATCAGGGGGCTGGAAACCAAGCCTTATGAGGAAAGGCTCAAAGAATTGGGCATGTTTAGCCTTGAGAAAAAAAAGGCTGAGAGGTGATATGATAGCACTTTTCAAATATTTGAAAGGCTGTCATACAGAGGAGGGGCAAGATCTGTTCTCGATCATCCCAGAGTGCAGGACACGCAACAATGGGCTCAAGTTAAAAGAAGCCAGATTTCAGTTGAATATCAGGAAAAACCTCCTAACTGTTAGAGCAGTACGACAGTGGAACCAGTTACCTCGGGAGTTGGTGATTGCTCCAACAACAGTAGAACCAGTTACCTCTGGAAGTATTCAAGAAAAATTTGGATAAGCACCTGGCAGATACGCTTTGATTGTATTCCTGCATTGAACAAAGGGTTGGACTTGATGGCCTTGTAGGCCCCTTCCAACTTCACGTTTCTGATTCTGTGATAACAAATTATGTTTCTGGACTGGGGTGAATCAGGAATTCTATGGAATTTATGATACTATGAATGCACACTAAACATAACAGAGTTGAAAACTTGTCATGATATTCTATCGCATTAGAAGTCAAAAGAAAATATATTACAGTAATTTACATCTCTATGGTACTGTGCAACAGGCATCTTGGAGAAGAACACACAGTACTTAACTTTAATTTCATTGTCAGAATAGCAGCGGCCATAACTTTGCCTTTTTAGAATGCAACCTACACAATATCCATATCTTGAGAAACAGTAACTTCCCATAACTCTGCTACTGATTGCCTCTAGAAGAATGATAATCTCACAGGCAAGGGGAGATTTTCAATAAGATTTTCTCTTATCCCATAGCAGGTCCAATTTGCAAGTAATCTACTTCATTGTGTGGAAGATGTGGGAGCCATGAGATGGAAGGGGTAAGTCTTTAATGACTGAAAATCTCTTCCTGCCAGTAACATTACCCAGTGGCAGAGTTTTTCAGTAATTAAAGACTTCCTGCTGTACCATGCGTCTCACAGGTTCTACACAACAGAACTGATAACCTGCAAGTTAGACAAGCTACAGGATAGAAGATGATGATCTTTAATTCCCAATATTTCCTCAGCCATCACCTTTCCATAGAAGTTAGCTTACACAACAAGATTTTGACCATTATACTGATGATAAACAAAAAAATGTGACTTTCCACACATGATTAGCCGCTCAGAGTGGTCTATTGTACTGGTTCTTAACCTTGAGTTACTCAGGAAAAAATGTGACTTTCCACACATGATTATTAAAATTAGATGCATTACTCAAATATGGGACTACAGACCATATATCCTTGGGAAAACAGGGGAGGGGAAAACATTTTAAGTTACAAAACTGCTCTTCTAGGCCTAACATATAGTACTGTACTCTAAAAGATGTCAGTGATACAAGAACTCTTGATGGAAATCATAGCTCCTTTTTTCTGTTAAAAGAATATGTTCCATTCACTTGTCTATACATGCATAAGAATAAACATAAGAATGAATGGGGAATGAGACTGTCAAGCCCTGAGGTGGCAGAATGTATTATACTACAGACTGTGTCTCATTCAAGAAACTTAAGTTTTGAAATGTCAAAAGCCATAATCCTCTTTGTTTTTACAGAGCACGCAGTGACCCATTGCATGTACAGTTCTGCTTTCTCAGCAAACCCACAAGAGGGTACTTCTTGGGATTTCCCAGCCATATTATGCATTTCCCAGCTATACCATGCATTTCATGAACAGGATGTTAGCCTAAACAAATAAATAAAATATGCCAAATAAAAACACATACAGAATGTCACATTTTTAAATGCTACCCTACATTTATAAAGAAGTTCCTTCATAGTAATGTGTCAGGAGTGGATGGAGCTTGAAACTTCTCTTCCATGCCAGTTTTGTGTTTGTTTGCTTGCCTGCTTTATTTGCAGAATATTTTGTACAAGGACTGGCATTCAAAAATGGCACCCCAATTACTTCTGAGATGGTACAACTTGCTGTACCATCTCATTCCATACTGGCAAGATCAGGGCACAGAGTAAAATTACACAGAAGTGTGCACCACTGGAAACACTCTGATAATTCAGCAGTCTTTTTTCTCTCCCCATGAGTTCAAGATCACTTAAACGAAGGGAACTGCACCTCATATTTTTTTTTCTGCAGGAAAAGCAGCTAAGTATAACTTCTCACATCCAATACAAACTACTAGCATAGACATCTTTCATTTCCTCCTCCACCTCAGATAACCTTATATGTTGAAAAAAATGAATATTTACAGATATTCTTTCATTTTAGGTATCGCTATTATTCCTGGTCCTGTTTATTGCTGGTCGATCTGCATCCCATTCCATTAGCACAATGGGCACCAGCCATCACTACTTGTATCCCATCTCATGAAGTCTAGACACCAAATGCAGACACAGGTCAAGGGAATGAACTGAGAGACACACATTATCAAGAGTTTTATTTACCCACACCCTCAATAACTTTGAAGTCTAAACTAATCTTCACCCTACCCCAGACTTCCAAGGCTTTAGAACAGTGTTGCCTTCCTCCACTCCCCTATGGCAGAGGACACTATGAGATCTGTAAAGATGATTCCTAGGTAATCTGTACTCCAGATATCAGAAATGTTAACAATAGTTGCTTTCTATACAGCAAATCACTAACCCTTGGAAATACATTCAATTGGCTTTGTGCTATACGCAAACGCTCAGGTATTCAGGGTGTTACTATTTTTTGCATCTCTAAACCACGTGTAACCTGAAACAACTCCAGGAGTCTCACACAATATCTTCAATAGACTAGCAATGAAACCAACAACTGTTTCAAATAACTACTTTCTATGCCATACCTGGCTAGTTTTTAGGTGATGAATTCACTGACAAGTTATGCTGTGGTAGTTTGAATGAGGTAAACATGACATGCATTTTATGGCTCCCATGAGAATGGTGATAGTAAAACAGAATCTACCAAGATTTAGCAATATAACTTCTAAAGAGCACACCACAAAGCATCCACTATGCCTTTACAGGGAAGCCATATTTTATACTGCATAACTAGTCTACTTCATCGTTAACATGAGGAGTATCCGTGGTTAACTTTCTGAGATAGTCTGCTTGAAATAAATCAACAGCAAGGAACTGGAACATTCTAAGAGTCCTACTACTTCAGTAAAACAAGCCATAAATCAATCCAATGCAATTTGTTTGGCACAAATATTTGTCAACAGGGAGCAAAAAAAGTTTCAGATGAAGTTTTCAAACCATGTATCCTGATTTTTAATGTGATGTCCCCACATGTCAGAAATGGTTGAGCAGGGATTCAACCCCAGTCTCCTGAGTCCTAGTCTGTCACTCTAATAATAATAATAATTTATTGTCATTGTAAGTATATACACAGTATACCCATACAACGAAATTCATCTATCCACGCCACTTGATCATTTATTTAACCAGAATCTGTTAGATGAAAATAAAAAATGGCCATGCATAATGTACGAAATAAGTTCTTAAAATAAAAATACATTAAGATTTTGTTTTAAGTGAATGCTACAGACTGCTAGTGCAGAAAAGTGCACCTGTATCCTACATGAGTCAGCTGCAACACAATTCTATCATACTGCTGTTACCAAGACTTTCATCTGCAAGATTACTTTTTTTCTTTTAGAAACTTCCTTATTAATACATGACCTTTTATCACAGTAACTTAATAGTGCCAGCTGAGGAAGGGACTCAGCCATGTTTGAGTCCTTCATACCTAGAAAATCCGATGAGGATTACCATAAAATCAGAATTTCACTATTCATTCACTCTCATATATTGTCTTGTTTCCTGCTATTTTGGTAGAGGTTTTGAAAAAAATACAGAAATACAAAGCACACAAAGCAGGATGTGGTATTTAGGTATTTTCTTGTCCATTAGTGGGTATATATTTAAAAAACCACAATCTCACAGCAGCACAGATGTGATTTCCCCAGACAAACACACATGCACATGCATACAGTGGTGCCTCAACTTACAAACTTAATCTGTTTCAGAAGATGGTCATAACTCGAAATGGCCATTAAGTCGAAGCACCATTTCCCATAAGAATGCACTGAAATGCGATTAATCCATTCTGGATTGGGGGGGGAATCACCAACACCCCCCAAAACAACAACAACAACAAAACCCTGCAAGACCCTCAGAAATGCAAAAAAGAACACCAAAAAGCAAACAAACCCTGCAAGACCCATCGGAAATGGGGGGAAAAAAACCTAAAAGCAAACAAACCCTGCAAGTCCCATCAGAAACGTGGAAAAAACCCCAAAACAAAGACTGCAAGACCTATCACAGCACAGAAACATAACCCCCCCAGCCCAAAACCACCCTGCAAAACTCAACCAGAACAGGCAGTTTTTAAAAAGCAGAAAGCAGCACCTTACCAGGCAGCCTGAAGCCTCCTCCGAACGCACACTCTCTAACTGCTGGGGAGAAAGAGCTACAAAGAAGCACCCTCTTCACTTCCAACAGTTAGCAGTTTGAATTCCCCGCCTTTTTCCCTGCCTTTTTGTTTGATCATAACTCGTAGCTCTAGTCGCAAGTCGAAGCAACATTTTGCGGCTGGAGCTGGTTGTAACTCGAATTGGTTGTAAGTCAGGGCGTTCGTTAGTTACGAACTTGATCCGTATTGGAACGGTGGCCGTAAGTCAAAGCAGCATTTCCCATAGGAATGCATTGAAAACTGATTAATCCTTTCCGGATGTTTTTTTGTCCTTTTGTCAAGGCATGGTTCGTACGTCAAAGCATTGGTTCCCATAGGAACTAATGCAAAGCCGGTTAATCCATACTCTACCACTAGGGGAAGAATTTTTTCTTTTTTCTTCTTTTGACCTAAGATGAACTTAGGTAAAAAGGGGGCAGGAAAGTTTTTTGTTGTTGTTCGTAAATCAAAGCTCTGTTCATAACTCAAAGCAATATATAGCATCCGGAGCTGTTTGTAAGTCAAATTGTTCATAGGTCAGGGTGTTCGTAAGTCAAGGCACCACTGTATTTACATTAGTGCAAAGAGAACAGTGGAAAGAGAAGGTACATACTATAGTTTGCTGCATAAAGTACACAGACAATGGGAATAATCCTGAAAACCCACTAGATTTGAAAACTAAAATTAATGGTTTCTTTCTAAACCTGAATTTGAAGCCACAGGTGTAACTAATTACAAGTAACTAGTTATTTGCAATTCATTCTTTTCCAACACCTTGATCTCACTCCTTCCACTCCTTTAACTGAAACTTTTAAAAAATTATGATTACACGGGCATGGTCCTACCAAATGGTACTAAAGAAATATTACACTCACCAGAGTAATATTACACACTCTCCAAAGTTCGTTCATTCATTGCTATGCCTTGTGTTGACACCTTATGCTCTACTGTGGCCACTGAGGTTGATGGTTCAGTATCTCATACCAGAAATTTTAGCATTCAGGTGTTTGCTCATTTAAAATAATTATTAAAGTTAAAAGGTACTTTTAAAATGGCTATAATAACAACTGCAAGCAGGTAGAGCGTCAGACTAAGAAAAGCTGGGTTCAGATCCCTATTCAGGCATGGAAACTCAGTGGCGATGGCAAAGGTAAATCAAAACCTGAACATCTTGAGTATCTAGAAAATCCTATTAGGGTCACTGTGAGGCCCCCAAGATGGAGGCCCTGGTAGGAGTGCCGTCGCTCCCGTTGAGGGCCCAACACACTCAAACATCTCCACCTCCTGCACCACCGCGTCGGGAAGAGAGAGGGGTGGAGACCCCTGATTGGGGGAAGGAAACCTCAGAATCCCCTAAGAAGAACAAAGGGGTAGATACTAGCAACCTGGAATCAACCTTGAAGGAGTTAAATATTCCCCCTAGGTCTGGGGGAACTTTGGCGGGAAGAAAGGGGGAGGAGATCGAAGCGGCGGTAGGAGATATAAAGGGGAGGGGGGAAGAGATCCCGGGCGGTTGGGAATGGATCTGGATGGACGATCCATGGACCCACAAGTGGGAGCAGGTGAGGGTACCACGAGAGGAACCCGAGAAGAGATGACAGCTAGGTCTCAAGCCTCGTCCCTCGTATTGGGGAGAGACAGAAGCTAAAGAGTGGAGACAGAAACGGCGAGAAGAGAGAGAAGCGGTGGCCCGTGAGTTGGAACGTAAAAACGCATGGCATATAGCCGAGTTACAGAAGTTGGGGGGTTTCCCAGGCCATGGATGGCCGATGATGGAGAGGGGTCGTCCTGGGGAGACTGGAGTGGGGATGAAGAAACCGTTCCCCTGATAGTTTTAGAAGAAGAATTAAACCCAGCTCTGAGTCCTGTGAAGTCCTTAACTGGACCTTGGAATCTGGAGAACACTAACCCGTTCATTAACAATTTGTGGACACCTTTAAAACCAAGTTTGGAATTGCAAGAGACTTTGAACCCGTTCTTGAATCCTATCCCCGTTAACGTTGATGTTGCAATAAACACAGAACCGTTTGACTTGTTACAACCGTCTCGTCCTTTATTGGAGGTACACACAGCCCCAGAAAACGAGCCTTCACAGTCACCACAAATTCAGCGTCCACCAGCAGTACTTGGAGCCACTTAAACACTACTCCAGAGGACTTCCCAGCTCTCCAGAGCAACACTGTGGGGAACAAATGCAGGCTATAGTATAAAACAGAGATTCTTTCCCTTTGATTTTAATATACACCAATGGAAGTCCAGAACCGGAGCCTGTCCTACGTCTGTAACTGAGAGTGTGGTTTCACTAGCAAAATAAATCAGAAGATGGATCGTCGTTTCTGAAATCAGTTTAAAGTCATGTGGCAGTGATGTGGTTTCTGGGCCAGCGTGTGCATCCTCTTGGGAAAACCTTTAATCCATTTTTCAACTGTGCTGTACAGTGATGCCTTGACTTATGAACACCTTGACCTATGAACATTCTGAGTTACAAACAGCTCCATTCACAACATTTTGCTTTGACTTGCAAATGGAGCTTTGACTTACGAACAGAAAAAAGGCAGGAGAAAAGGGCGGGAAATTCAAATAGCTAACTGTAGGTGGCAACGAGGCTGCTTCTTTGTAGCTCTTTCGCCCCAGCAGTTACAGAGTGTGCATCAGAGGAGGTTGTCTGCTAAGGTAAGGTGCTGCTTTATACTTTTTAAAAACTGTTCTGGGTATTTTTGCAGCGTGATTTTCAGCTGGGGGGTTATGTTTCCATGCTGTGATAGGTCTTGGGGGGGGGGTTTGATTTTTGGGTTTTGTCCCCCTCCCCCCATTTCTGATGGGTCTTGGGGGGTTGCTTTTTGTTTTTCCCCCTATTTTCGATGTGTCTTGCATGCTTTGTGCTTTGATCCCTTTGCATTTCTGATCTGCTCCGTTTGTTTCCAGTGATTCATGCATGCTTTTCTTGCTTTTTTGCTTCATTCTCTTTGCATTTCTAATCTGCTCCGTTTGTTTTCTGTGCTTTTGCAATGGTTCATGCATGCCTCCCTTGCAAATCAGAATTTTTTTTGCAAGGGTCTATGCTGGCTTAGTTTAAAATGTGTTGGTTTAGCATGTGTTTTAGACTTCATACTCTCTCCCTCCCCCATTGTCATCTCTCTCTCTGTCTCCTTCCTTTCCTGCCCCTTTTTAAACCTAAGTCATCTTAGGTTTAAAAAAAATCTCCCCCTAGTGGTAAAGGACAGATTAACTGGCTTTGCATTAGTTCCTATGGGAATGAATGTTTTGATTTACAAACCGTGCCTTGACATAAGAACAAAAAACAGCTGGAACGGATTAATCGGGTTTCAATGCATTCCTATGGGAAATGCTACTTTGATTTACGAACATTTTGACTTACAAACACCATTCTATTACGGATTAAGTTTATAAGTCAAAGAACCACTGTATATTGGTGGAGGGGACTACATCGGCTTTTAGAATTGGTACATTTGAGTCTTTGTCCTGTGCCCACAGGACACAGTCACTTGCTGCTGCCGTCAGATTATCTTTAATCTATTCTTTAAAAAATTATTGCTTGCTATCTGAAATATCGATCCTTTGACATGACAGGTAGAAAAAAATTGAAAAGACCAAACTGCAGGCTAAGTGGGGGAAAGCACAACCTTCTTCCCAAGCCTACATGCTCCCGCTCTCCATGTGCATGTGCTGGTTCCTCCTCCACCTGCCTGTCCCTCCTTTGCAGCTGCTGGCAGACAAAGAGCGTTCCTCCTACCCACCTCTCCTCCCTCCCTGCTGTGTTCCTTGCTATCTGAAATAGTGACAATTTGACATGACAGATTAAAAAAATTAACAAGATTGGACTTTGTCTCTGAGCCGGTGCAAGGGAGGGACTAATGTAACTGCACTCTGGGCTGAGAATACTGATCCCCAGCTTTCCTGTCTTACTCCATTTCCTTGCTTCCCTTGTTCCATTTGTGCATTACATAAATAACATTCGCTTTGCTACAAGCTACTCTCCGTTTGCATCTTAAAAAGCAGATTCAGCTTTATTATGTACTAAATATCAGTTAATCAGACAATGCACTGGTGCATACTCTAAGTATCATAACACCTGTGCTATTTATGGCCGTTTTCAGACGCAGGAGCAGAAAGTCAATTCAGAAGCAAAGCAGAGCTCATATATACCGCACACAAAAACACGAGTTAAAATCAAACATGAGCTTCCCCCCAAAAAAACTTACTTTGAAACAACAATTCTTCCTTTTTTGGCCACTGTTGCAGCTACACCGGCCCCGTGCTTGAAGTACTAAGCGTACATCTTCTGTCTCCAATACAGCCTTATATACCGCTCTCTGGAACTCTGTCAAAGAGCAGTATACCATCTGGCAAGGTAAAATGTAAAACAAGGGAGGGCAGAAAACAACACAAACATTATGAACAACTACAACAGGATGATGGCAGTCAAGTGTTTTCTGCACAGCATGGTTCAGTAGCCATAGAGTTCTTGTGCAAAACAGGATTTCAGAACTGTAGAAAACATGATAGTTAGCTAGCATCTTATACCTAAATCATACAATCTGTTAAGAACACAAAAGATAAGTTGTGATGTTCATTCACTGTTTGAGACTGGTACGAGCAAGCAAGTAAAAGAAAAAGCCTCAAACGCCTAACCAAAAGACGGAAGATTCTGAATCACTTTAAAGATCTATTTGCTTTTCCTTGGCACTAACTATTGTAATGCAGACTGAGTGAATAAAGGGGAACAGCCAATTCTTAAGACTGACATTCTGAATTTGGGAAGGGGGGGATCTGTACAGTGGTATGACAAACCTTATCCTTCTCTTTTAAAGACCATGGGTGGCATCTCCATGACATCTTTTGGTCTCAACCAGCAGGATACAGAAATGCAACATCACTTCTGAAATCAGGCCACCCACAAAGCAGCAGCACCATGCTGTGCTATAATAATCCAATGGTATTATGCTCACATATACTTCAACATATACTCACATTATCAAGAGAATGGAATAAAATAAAGGCCGCTAGATTAAAGGCAACCGAGTGACACTGCGGTTAATCTTCTCTTTAGAATACACAGTTGGTCTGCATTATTACATGCTTTTGCTGAAAGGCAGGTATAAACAAGGATAGAAGGGCAGCAGACTAATGTGTATCTTTATTAAAAGTATAGAAACATCCTAGCCAACTGAAAAGCATACTTTATTTAATGATGGTGATACCAAACCCAGATATAGTTTTTAATTTAACAGCTTATAATTAGTTTTTTTACAATGAGTGTTATCAAAGGAAGGGAGGGAAGTATGAGAGCTTAAGGCTTTTGACCTATCTCTGAATGCAATGCATCTATACAAATTCAGTCCTTTCACATATTTTGCACATATACAGAAGAGATGAAGCCTGAGGACTGAACTACACATCTTATTTAAGCATTAGATCACCAATACTAGGCAGGCTATGAATGCTGGCATGTGAAAACTAATTTGTCTGAAAAGACACTGCGTTTTCTATGCACATATATTTATGTATATATCTATATACATGCAGCTTTATAGATAATAATTATGTGATGTCAAGTAGATACCAACTTAGGATGACTCTCACAGTATTTACTATGTACAGTAGTGCCTCGCTTAACGATTGCCCCGCATTACAATGAAAACACTGTATGGCGATCTTTTTGCAATCGCAATTGCAATCGCAAAATGATGGTCTAAATAGGGTTTTTTCGCTTTGCGATGATCAGTTCCCTGCTTCGGGAACAATTCTTCACAAAATAATGTTTTATAACAGCTAATTGGCGGTTTCAAACTGGCCACCGGGTACTTAAAATGGCTCCCCGCTGAGTTTAGGGATGGATTCCTCGCTATACGAAAATGGCCACCGTATGGAGGATCTTCGCTGGATGGTGAGTTTTGACCCCACTGGAACGCACTGAACGGGTTTCAATGCGTTTCAATGGGGTTTTCAATTTTATTTTATGATGTTTTCGCTTAACGGCAATTTTCTTGGAACAGATTATCGTCACTAAGCGAGGCATCGCTGTATAAAGTACTCAAATATAATTTACCAGTCCTCCTTTCCATTATGCTTCGGGAACATGTGATGGTCAAGGTTGCAAAGGAAACATGGCATGCAATGCCACAGACCACACATGTCCAAGGGACTGGTTCCTCTGCTTACTTATGGGAGTGTGCCTGCATGAACCACAGGTGGGACCATCAAGAAATCTTTGGAAAATAGAGAACACTCGTTTCCTCTCCTCCTCATGTACAGCAGCATGCCTTATATAGCTGCAAAGGATGTTATGAAGAACATAGCTTAAAAAGAATTTTGTACACCCTAGTTATGATCGTCTGGGCAATCTTGCACTGTAGCAATGTAGGGCCACATGTGCAATTCCACAGAAAAACTAATCAAAGAACAAATAATTACAATAAGCATCTCATTTGGTTCTTTATAAGTTCTCTGCAATGGAGTATGTCCAAGATTGCTAAACTCATTTACCCAAAATAAAGGGTCAGAGGTGGCTGACTGAAGAAAGTACTCAGGAACATGTAAGTGGTTTCCAACCTTGGGTAACGCAGGTTTTCTTAGAGTGCAATTCCCACCAGCTGTGCGCCAACCAGGGCTTTTGGGAGTTACAGTCCAAAAACAGCTGGGTTACCCAAGGTTGGAAACCACCGCCATAATTTATTTCATGCATTCCCTGCACTTCTGAGGCAGAGGAATTTTTACACATTGAAGCAGTTCAGTGATTATTTTCACCAAACAGCCAAAAAAAATGTATAATGTAAAAATTAAGCTTCCTTTGTTGTTCTCCATAAGCACTGAAAGGGGCACTTAAGAGACAATTTGCTCAGACTGAGGATCTGCCACAGCTACCTAGATTTGAAAAATATTACCATATTTTCAAATGAGGCTTATGAGCAAAATCATGAAGAACTTTACTGTGTGCTTACAGAGACCAACAGCAAGTGATGATCACCATGTGAAGCGTCACCCCATTGCTCACTTTATATATATCTATATCTATATCTATATCTATATCTATATCTATATCTATATCTATATCTATATCTATCTATATATATATATGTTTCCTACATTTTTTCCCTTAAAAGGAAAAGCTTACAAAATATTAAAAAGACTAATGAAGCTCAAAATATAATTTGCAATATTAAAATGCAATTAAATACATCATCCTAAAGCAGCTCTGAATAAAAAACATTTAAAATAACTTAAAAGCACATTAAAAGACAAAAGGATTAAATCCCTTTCACTACCAAGTCACTTGGCAAAATCTTATCTGAACAGAAGTGTCTTGGTCTACCTGGCAAAAGACAAAAGGGATGTGAGCAGGCTGCTCTCCTCCAGGAAAGAATACCAAAACCAGCCAAAGTGGTGATTCATGGAAGTAGAAAATAGGTGAAATTGCTGTAACTACAGTGGTGCCTCGCATAGCAATCGCTCCGTTTAGCGACGAAATCGCTTTGCAACGCATTTTTTGCGATCACAAAAGTGATCGCTTTGCGATGTTCCCCATGGGGGAATTTCCCTTTGCGATGATCGTTTCCCTTCTTCAGGAACCGAGCATCGCAAAGCAATGACTTTAAAACAGCTGATCAGCTGTTTCAAAATGGCAGCCAGGTAAACAAAATGGCCGCCCGCTGTTTTCTGGGACGGATTCCTCGCTTAAGAGGCACCAGAAATGGCCGCGCTATGGAGGACCTTCGCTGAACAGTGAGTTTTAAGCCCACAGGAATGCATTAATCGCGTTTTAATGTATTTCTATGGGCTTTTTATTTCGCATTGCGACATTTTCATTCTGCAGCAATTTTTACGGAACGAATTAACGTCGCAATGCGAGGCACCACTGTATCTGAACAAGAATTTTCAGGAGTCAGCAGAGGCAGAGAGCTTATTTTGTCCAGAGCTCAAAATGTGTCAATTGGCAGTTTCCACCTTTCTCTTTTTTATTGCTCTCCTAAGTGCCCTAGCGACAGTGAGTTCCAGAGCAGAGTTGAATGTTTGTTTGCTTTTTTAAATAACCAATCTTGAGACAAGGAGCAGTGGGTTGTGAAGAATGGAAATTCCTACAGGCACCCCTTTGCTTCAGACAATCAGTGGACAAAAGCAAGGCCAAACCAAGAGGAAAAATTTACACCACCTCAATCAACTGAACAAAAGACGATTCCCTATTTGAAAAACATGATTCCACAATACGCTTCCTTGCATTGAGTTTTACATTGGGTCATCATTGTGTTTTAAATCAAATTTATCTGTGCCCAATCCAACATAAATTGTGGAATAAATAGTCAAACAAGTCACCCCAAAGCCCCACAAAATAACCAACAGAGGCCAGTACATAGGTGAACTTCCTATAGAGAAATTTTTTTCTGACTTTCTTGTGCAGTAAAAAAGATGCTCATTCCCTCTCAGCTTTTAACAAGCATACTGAGGACAGCTGGATGGTGCAGTTCTTCTCCCTCACTCTGTGCAAGGCATACTGCTGCCCATTGGATGGTAAGGAGGGACCCTTGAATAGTAAAATTTTCAAATGTTAGCAGTGTATGCAAATCCATTCGCATGTGGGGCCATACCAAACCATGAAGCAGAACGTAATAACAAAATGTGTTATTGATTCTTCCTCACTCACATTTTAAACATCAGAATTGCTGTTATAAAACAATTTTTACAATCAGAGGGAAAATCACTTCTTCCATTACTCTATCACAACTTGTAGAGCTGGAAGAATGGCTGAATAATTCATTGACTGGCACTCAAATCTCTGCTAGCATTCCTGTTGTCCATACATATAGCTCTACATACAACTTCCCATGTACAAGACACAGCATAAACTGTCCCTCAAGTCTAAAAGCCTACCAAATACACTGCATGAAATCCACATGAAGATGGTATTTAAAATAATATTTAAAGTTGATTGTAAGTGCTGGTTCTCACCCTGTCTTCCTTCCTGGGCAGCTGATCATTAATAAGAGTCTTTGTACGTCTTAAGAAATAATCCGACATTTTCTTAGCTAGCCTTTGCATTGCCTTTCGACCAGTTGCCAGCTCTCTTTTTGTTACCGTGTGTCTTTGACCGTGCTCAACTGGATCAGAAAATTCTTTCTTGAAGCGTTTTTCATTACCCAAAAGCCCTGGCACAGCCCTGAGAAAATGAGAGAAAGCAGTAAGCATATTGCAACTGTTTTGGCCCATTCAAGATGTTACCTTTGCTTTATAAGGCCCTATATAGATCAGGTCCAGGTTACCTGAGCTAAAAATAGACATTATCATTAGAGCATCATTTGATGAAGACAGCGCATTTGTGTATCTCTTGATTTTTTTATGTCTTACGAACTACAACATGCAAAAAGTTGTTGTTTACCCTTCTGACAACAACCACAAAATGAAGCAAGCTAGATCTGTAAATCACAGGAGATCGGAAGAGCTTCTGCAAGGGCAATAAGATGAAGTTCTACACTTGAGGATTTGCCATTTCTAACACTGAATTCTCGACAGAATCTGCATCCAGTGAGAGTTATTTGGTTATGGTTCCGGGAGAGCATTATGTACCTCCCCCGGAATGATTTCCCCATCTATTTTTTTAATTATTTTAAATAAAACAAATACATCTAAATCAAGTGGAGTTCCATTGTAGGGTGTTTTCGCCATCAACTAAAGACCTACTGGTTTTCCCAGACAATTCCCTGATCATTGTCCGCTCTGATAATATTATCAATTACCCCTGACTTTTTAATGGATTATTTCGTTGATTTTTGTTTTGTTCTGTTTTTATCAGTTTGCTTTATATCTTAAAAGATTACGAGCGCATGCATCAACTTCCCCTGACTTTTTAATGGATTATTTCATTGCTTTTTGTTTTGTTATGTTTTTATCAGTTTGCTTTATATCTTAAACCACCTTGGGATTTTCAAAATGAAAAGCAGTGGTCAGAATCTTGTTATGTAGTTTCTCCAGCACAGCACATTTAGCATAATGTATCTTGGCAAACTGCCATAAATTAAGAAGTCAGCTTGGGCATTTGATCTCGCATACCAAGTCACATGACTGTTTTAGAATAGGATATGCTTATGCCAGTTTCTCAACCTGCAGCAAGTTGCTACTAATAGTTACAGTGATTGCATCATGTCAGTGGACTCAACTAAAAGAATTTGGACTCAACAAACAGTCAGTATAAAATGTTCTAAAATAAATACATTCTTTGGTCTATTCTGTATCAAGCACACAATAACACATGAACTGAACTAACATGTCCATCAGAACTAATAGTTAATTGCATCATGTCAGTGGACTCAACTAAAAGAATTTGGACTCAACAAACAGTCAGTATAAAATGTTCTTAAATAAATACATTCTTTGGTCTATTCTATATCAAGCACACAATAATACATGAACTGAACTAACATGTCCATCAGAATTGTACAACCAAATCCAGATTTCCTGCCAGTTAGCACACTGAAAATTCTACCTAATCATGGCTACATCCCTACCTATGACTACAAACCCTAAATTAAGAGTAAATGTCAGTATAAAATGTTCTTAAATAAATACATTCTTTGGTCTATTCTATATCAAGCACACAATAATACATGAACTGAACTAACATGTCCATCAGAATTGTACAACCAAATCCAGATTTCCTGCCAGTTAGCACACTGAAAATTCTACCTAATCATGGCTACATCCCTACCTATGACTACAAACCCTAAATTAAGAGTAAATCCCATTGGGCTCAATCAAGTTTAGTTCTAGGAAGAGTTTTATAGGATTGAAGTGTTCGTTTCCATGGACATTCTCAAATATGTTCATTTTGGGGGCTCCTCCCACTTAATTTTATTAGAGGTCAAGGAGGTACCCCTGAAAATCACACCCATCTTGTCATATTTAACTAAAAGTAATCCTAGTAGATTCATATATCAGCCATCCTTTTAATCATAGTTTCATTATACAGATAAAGAATATGGAGTAGTTCTATGTTACTGGCATTAAATGGGTACCTCGCTCCATAAGACGCACCTTTTCCATAAGACGCACCAATTTTTTAGGAGAAGAAAACAGGAAAATATAATCTGTTTTCTTCGCTCCATAAGACGCACAGACTTTCCACCCCCCTGTTTTGCGGGGAAAAAGAGCATCTTATGGTGCGAAAAATACGGTAACTAAAATTAGATTATTCAGACTAGATTCTTGCATGGCTACCAAAGTAGAAAAGGAAAAAGGTAACTAAACAGAAGCCAGAAAATTCCATGAAGCTCTTAGGACTCTTACATTAATCATCTGTATTCTCTAAAAGCAATATAAAAGTATTTCTTTGTTTGTTGTTGTTGTTTCTTCTTCTTTCAGATAACCTCAAACAACTCCAGCTCTGGAGCAGCATCAATAAAACACATAGAAATCTATAATATCAGGCTTTAAAGGAGTTACTTAATGAATTACATAGAGGCAAATGCCTATTTGACATTGCACAAACGTATTACAGGGAACTGAATCCCAGAGAATTCCGCAAGTCTATCATGTATACACACACAATATACAATGTGTATTCTATGTTTCTGTAACACAGTGGCTCCCTGGCTCACAGAACTGTAAAACACAACATACAATTGCCATACATGTATATATACATAACAGTATATTTCAGATGTGCATGAAAACCATCTTGCATGCACATAAATGAATTGGGTGATCTCAAGAGTCAAAGGCATGCAAGCTGCACTTTTGATACTAACTTTTGTGTCACTTACCAGTCCATAACACACCATAGTTCCTTCATGTTGTTCTGAAGAATTGTCCCAGTAAGGCCTAGTCGAACTTTACATGTTAAAGCCTTCATTGTCTTAGTTGTCTGAGACTTTGGATTCTTGATTCTGTGCACTTCATCAACAATGACAGCTGACCACTCTATGCTATAAATTAACAGGAAAAAAGTAACAAGCCTCCTAAATCCTCCAAATACATTTGCCACAATGAGTTTCCCCACCACACACTGTACTCCATAGGTTGAACCTTCCATGGCTTGATGCTATATACAGCATCAAGGTAAAACAAATACAAAATTAGGTTTTAGGAAATAAATAAAACAAGGATGAACTTAAAGGTAAAAACTTTACTGTGTGTGCTCCTATTATGCTGTGTTGCATGCATGATGAGGTTGTCTGCCATCATGGCTATACTGACTTTGGATGCAACATCTCTAAACAATGACGCTGTTCTCCATCCAAACCAGTCTCCCAGATTCTTCTGCTTACAGCCAGAATCCTGTCAGTAATCTGTGTGCGTATAAGTGAAACTGCACTTCTTTTTCCCATTTATTTTACCTTGGGTAATCAGTTATAACTGCCTATACTTTTCATATTTTAGCTTTCTGTATTTCACAACTCATTTTAGCTTTGCAATTGCTTGGTTTTTATTCCTTCATCTATACAATGTATGTTCTCAGCACTGATTTTAATTTTTTATTGCATACATTCCTCAACTTAAGGAAGCTGCTCCAGGCCATTTCTATTTTGATTTTTATTGCAAAATCATCCCCCCACTGCTCATTGAACAACATTCCAAGGTACTTTTGTCAACACATGTTCATGTTGGATCCTCAGCTCTATGGTTTGAGCTCCTTGTTTTTTCATGACGATCATAAACTTGATTTTCATAATATTGGCCAGTATCCTGTTCACTATTTATGCACACAACTGCAGAAGAAGTCACAGTAATATGAGAAGGTGCCAACTGTCTGCCTGGTTGCATACAACTGGCACTTCTTCAAATCACTACTGCAGCTCTCACATCTGAGGCTCTGTATATATGGAAATATCAACCAGGACACTGGCCCTTCATTTTAAAGCATTCACCAGCAAAAGATTTCTCTGCTTTAAATAAGACTTTGTATAACTAATGAGATGGAAATTTATAATTTCCCCTTTTGCAACACAATTGACATATGTTATCTAAAGTACATCTAGCATGTTTGAAGACTATGGGTAAAACCCAACAAAGCCCATTGGCCAAAGTGAAATCCATCACAAAGGAACAGACATTCTTGGCAGACTGGATTCTTCTCCAGAACTCCCACCCACCCAATCTCTTTTGGAATGTTAGCAGACCGTTCAGAGCAGTGGAAGTCCCCCCTGTGTAATGCTGGATGGAATTGTATTCATTTTTAAAGCTTGTTTAATTGGAAGCTACCTTCCACAGATTGCAACCGAGACAGATTATGCATAGGGGATACAGCTTCAATGCACAACTTCTCTTGCCCCTTGCTAAAAAACAAAATTTACGAATTTGCAGTCTTGTTTTTTGTAAGAATATTTTAGGGTGTTTAAAGAAATTATTTGCACTACCAACAGTTAGAGAATTTAGTTACCTATTAAGGTCATCCAAAAAAAGACGTAGTGTTTCATATGTTGTTAGCACAATCTCACATTTTCCTTGCTTGATTCGATTCAGTTCATAGTCTTTTCTATTGCCATGCAAAACTATAACCTTGAAATAGCCCCAGGTGTCCAATTCATCTTTCCAGTTATAAAGTACAGAAAGGGGTGCTACAATCAGAAAAGTCTGGAAAAAAACCAACATACAGTATTGCTAAATACAAAAAGCATTTTGAGAAGACAATCAGTGTATGATTTTATTGCATGCTGTGAACTGTTCAGAGAGTAATCACACTAATGGGAAGGTATAAACGTGGAAATAATAAAATAAATAAATGTACAGGCCTACTAATTCACTGAATTCCTCTATTTTAGCAGTTTCAACAAGCAACAGAAATGAGAGGCTGTTGGTGGCAAATATTCCATGAGGAGCAGGTAACAAAACCAATGTTAGCTTATTTGCAGAATAAACATGGAGGGAAAATTTCTGATCATTGGGCCACAAACAGGATCTAGATGACTGAGAACTGTGCCTCTTGGAACAAGTGAAATATCTGGCCAAGTATCTCCTTTTCTAGTCAGTGCTAATGTTACTTCTGGGACACGTGTCCTCAATTCATTTTTTAAAAAAGGTAGAGTTGAACAGATTTGATTAAGCCACACATATATGGAAGTCAGTGTAAGCCAGCAGCAGACTAATTTACACATTACCTGTCATAATGTCACCTATCATCATATCTTTAATATATATTCTGGAGCCAACATACCTTTATGGCATGCTAGTGCTATACAGTGGACCCTCTACTTAAGGAATTAATCCGTATTGGAATGGTGGCTGCAAGTCGAAAAGTCTGTAAGTCGAATCTCCATTGTTCCTCAATTCATTTTTTTAAAAAGGTAGAGTTGAACACATTTGATTAAGCCACATATACTGTATATGGAAGTCAGTGTAAGCCAGTAGCAGACTAATTTACACATTACCTGTCATAATGTCACCTATCATCATATCTTTAATATATATTCTGGAGCCGACATACCTTTATGGCACACAAGCCATGCTAGTGCTATACTGTAAACCCGAAATATTTGCTTGAATTTGAAACACAAAACACCCCTGCATATGCTAGAAAGATCAGACACCTATTGCTCAGGTTTACAGAAACTGATGAAATTGAAGGAAAAAAGGAGGAGATTGGCAAAAGCTACATGCCATGGAGACTACTGTTCATGCTGTTCATTCAATTTATAATGTGCCTGGCCGAAGCAGATAGGATGTACTGAACAAAAATCGGAAGCTAGAACCAAAGCTCCTGCATTGTGCTACACCTCCAAAATAATGATATGCCTTCCATTAATCCTAATTTCCAGGTGTGGATTTCTCAAAAGATCTGTTCCTGGGGCCATTCTGGATAGCTACCTACATGATCAATCACTTTATATTAATTACTAAAATGAGGATTTATAGGCTTTGTTCCAAAAACACAGAAACGAAACTGTTCTTTGTAGAGCGAACAACCAGTTCTACGAATATATATACATATGATTATTTTTATGTGTAATTGCACTATAATGTAAGTCATCGGTTCCAAAACTTTTTCAACTCACGGCTCCCTTGACTTACTGGCCACTCGCCTTAGCTCCCCAATATGATACTTTGGGTGAGGGGGAAGGAGGAAGCCCAGCCTGAGTAGCAATTCCATTTCTATTGCCTAAAGATAATTTAATAAATAGGTTCTCCCTCCCTTCTCCCGCTGTTCTCTCATTTGGCTTCTGGTTAAGCATTTGCGTGTGGACGGACGAAAAGAATGGGAAGGTCATTGGGTTATCTGCCTGTCCCAAGCCTCCCTCTCCCGAACAAAGTAATGTGGGGGGAAGGACCCAGTCCCTCAGCAGCACTGAGGGAGGAGGCCCTGAGTGGGTCAAAAAAAGTGAAATTATGGGCCAGCTTTGTATTTGCAATTGCAGAACATAATGCCTTGACAGCATATTGCTCCACAAGATCTCTTGCTTTACGCAGGCTGGAGACTACCCTGTTTTCCCCAATATAAGACCTTACCTGAAAATAACCCCTAGTATGATTTTTCAGGATGCTCGTAATATAAGCCCTACCCCAAAAATAAGCCACAGTTAAGTGCAATCCCACCCTCTACCATTGTGCAGCAGCCAGCAGAAGATGACAGGACTGTATTTGAATAAATGTAGATTGTTGTACACACACACAAAAATAAAACATCCCCTGAAAATAAGCCCTAATGGGGTTTTTTGGAGCAAAAATTATTGTAAGACCCTGTCTTATTTTCGGGGAAACATGGTACCCCACTGGAGCTAAAGCTGTGTTTATACTTGCAGAGGTACTTCATGGGCACCTCTTTGCGTAAGCCCAGAAAAATCCCAAGCCCCCAGGACAACAGAAAGTTGCATGCATGGAGCATACAAAAAGGATTTCGTCCATGGTCCATACAACTTCACATTTCTAGTGTACAATATCCATATACTCGCTTACTCTCTTTGGCGCAGATGACTTTTCTTTTTTCATTGTTCTTAGCAAGAAATCAGGCATGTTATTTTCAATATCCGCACGTGTCCCCTTTTTGTGTAGCATTGCAGCCAGAAATGATATCACCTGGGAAAACACAATTTGACACTTTCAAGAAAGAGGTTTTAGCCTGAGAACATTCAAAACAAGTCTTGGCCTGAGATATTTGAACTCATATACTAAGGTACATTATGCTAAGGCTTGTCTTCGGAGAAATGTGTCCACTATTCTGGCCACCATGGCTCCAGATTCACAAAGAACTCCAGATCTACTGCTGCAATGGGAGCACACAACATGCCACCTACTAAAGCAAGGGGCAGCAAAATGTAAGCTGCCGAATACTCTGACCATGCCATAGGGACAGAAACACTCAAATATCCAACCCACAAAAGATTCCTACATTGCAATGTGTAGTAATAAATCAATGCCTCCTCAAATATGTAAGCTGCAGAAACAGGACTCCTATAAACTGCAAACTCAAGGTTCCTGCTATGCACTGATAAAGACAATGGGACTCTGGTAATTTTGAGGAACAGAATCAAAGAATCATAGAATACTTGAGTTGGACTGGGCCTATAAGGCCATCAAGTCCAACCCATGCTCTGTGTAGGAATCCAAATAAAAGCTGATCTGACAGATGGCTGCCCAATTTTCTCCCTAATGCCTCCAGTGCTGGAGTGCTCACTGCCCGCCAAAGGTAACTGGTTCCATTGTCATACTGTTCTAACAGTTAGAATTTTTTCTGGATATCCAGCAAAAAAACTAGTTTCCTGTAACTTGATCCCATTATTGCATGTCCTGCACTCTGGGTTTATCAAGTTCAAATCCTGCCTCGCTTCTATATGACAATCTTTCTAGTATTTGAGAAGTACGATCCCATCTCCCCTCAGTCTTCTTTTCTCTGACAGGTAGACACAGTAAGAACTATCACTGGTCCTTTCCAGCTAACAAGCAACAATTTAGTTTCCACTCGCTCCCTAAGATCAGATCTAAACAAGAGATAAACCTGGGTACCACCAGTATCCTGATGGCTCTGGGTAACTTCAAGTACCACTTTATGTATCTATTAAATAGAATGAGACAAAATGGAGTCATTAGGCATTTTGTATATCAATGCCCAAATGCCCAAAACAGAACTGTTTTCAAGGCTATACAGGAATACATGGAGCCATCTGACAAAAAGGTACTGTGATGGACAGGTCAGTAACCTCTCCTGTCCATCACAATGGAACCTTGATATATCAACCAATGATTGAACAGAAGAGGCGGAACTAAGGAAATATAAGAGGAATGGAAGACAGTTAAAGATCAGTTAGGGATATGAGTTAGAGTTAGGGACTTCAGTTAGGGATATCAGTTAGAGAGAAGCAGTTTAGGCAGTTAGGACCAGCCTTGTGTTAGAGAAGGGTAAAAGAGAGATAGAGAATAAGACAAGGAAAGTACAAATCTTGTATGGTTTATGGTTATGATTGGAAAGAGTTAGAAGTGAAAAGAAATGAATACCTAGATTAAAATGATTCTACCTAAGCAAATATAAATGTTACCAAAGCACAATTTATTGAATGAATAAAATTAGACCATCCATGATTAACTTTACATGATTTAGTTATAAACACATAAATAAACATTGTTATATTGGAGAACTGTGATTTAAGAGTCATATTTGATAGAGTGAGGAATAAATCCTCTGGTGGCAGCGGAAAAGGGTTGAGAAATAAATGTCATACCCGAAAGTGAACCTGGGTTGTGTGGAAGAACAAACAGGGGAACTGGGTGTGTGTGACAAAACAGCCAAGAATAGCCATATAATGTTGGTCATGAAGATACTGAACACAGTGTCAAGAAGAATCTAGAGAGTCACACTCTCTTTACCCATCTCCAAAAAACTAGTAATCTCTTAGGGCAACCAAGACCATTTCCATAGCCTTTCACATTATTTGCATGATTGGCTTTAAACCTATTCTATCAACCATATTTGTGGGTTATTAAAGCAAGTACTATTATTTATTAGAGTGTCAATGGATTATAAAGATACAGGTAGATATACCTGCACCCCTTCAGGTAGATTGTAAGGCTGGTTTCTATTATGCTAATTTAACTAGAAAACATTGGTTCTCTCAGTTACTTGTGGTATTAAAAGCCAATATTACTCGAATCAGGTTCATAAAATACTCCTCCTGTTTAATAACCTTGAGAACCTGAGAAGAAACAGCTTACAAAGAAGTTCATATTATTCTGAAAAGTCATGTCTATAATTGGAATTTTTGTTTTCAAATCATGAGCTACAGCAATTATCAAGCACACTATCACACAAAACAGGTAGCGAAGCAGATGTGGAAACCTGGAGAATGAGAGACAGTAAGACTGCAGAATAAAATCAGTGTGAATTAACAGCCCAAGTTACAGCTGAAACACTGAATATATCACATAATAGAGTACATTTCCCCCTTGGAATGATAGTCATTCTGAGAAAGCACCCTTATGCTTCCCCATGCTGACAAGAAGGCATTTTTACAAGCTAGCTTTCCTCCCATATGCCATTCTGCAATGTGTTATATGCCAGAGTCTGGGAAAGAGTGTCATAAAATTTCCCAACAGGAGATACTAAAAAGCAAGTGCAAATCAACCTTGTTTCTAAAAGGAAGCACAGACAATGTATGTATCTTCATCATCATCATCATCATCATTATCATCATCAGCATCAGCATCATCATATATATTTCCCAGTTTGTGTTTAATCCTCCCTCTAATCTCACAAATTGTTTACACCAACTGTTTAACAAATATAATGGGAAAAGCAAAACAAAAATCCAGTTTTCATGTAAAGGGACTCCCTATTTTTTAAATATTATCAATAGATTAATTATTTCTAGATATTTCTTAAAATCTGAAACACCAGAAGAGACTAGGTTTCTAACACTTTCTACAGACAGGAAGAAAACTGCCAAATTGTGTTATTCTCTTTTATTATATTTAATTTAGTTATTAATTATAATCTGTTCTATTTTAAAAAATAATCAAAAAACCGATTTAGCCGCAAAAGCAATTGAAATTTTTGGAATATTAAGCCTTCCATTCACCTTCCTAAAGTTACTAAGCAAAGTATAACTAAGACGTTTTGAAATCGTATGACTTCTTTTTTAACAGAAAAACACTGAGTTTCTCCATATTCTACACCGATCATTCTTATTCCATTTACAGTGGTGTCTCGCAAGACGATTGCCTCTGGGGATGAAAATCCTGCAAGACTTTTTTTCTATGGCGCCTTGCAAGACAGTTTTTTCTATGGCTATGCTTCGCAAGACTTCCCCGCCCCCCTGAGACCGATGCTTTGCAAGACGAATAAATTTCATTTGTCTTGCGAGGTTCCCATAGGATTTTTTTTCGCAAGACAGCGATCTTCACGGAACAAATTAAAATCGTCTTGCAAGGCACCACTGTATATGATGCTCCTTCTACATGCTGCCCCATAAAATCTGAATGTAAATGCAATACAGGCTCCCTTTCTGTTTGAAGCAAAACCACCATTTCACATTTTGTCTGTACTGCCAATTGCATTTTGCTCTAAATCAGGAAAGAAGGGCAAGGTCTGTTGGGAAAAGAATGAGTGGGAAACATCCAAGCATCTCACTTCCTGCTTTTCTTTTTAGGCATTCCCTAGCTACCACCTTTTGTTTCTCAAACAAACACAAACTATGGTTGCTAGTTTACAGAAAATGCCAATCTATGCTCTGCCTCAAACCAGGAAAAAATTATTTTATCACCACATGTGAGAGAAAGGAACAAGTGTGTGAATGACTGCTACTTCCCTTAGCTCCAAATGACAATTTAGTAGTATGATTAAAGGGGAATGAAAGTGAGCTACAGAACTGGAAGCAGAGCACATGTGCAACTGTAATGCACAAATGCTATCTATATCACCAAGGATGGATCTATGAACCAAAAGGTGGCAGGGTAGGGCAGCCGTGCCTTTCTGCCAGGAGAAAGAAGGCCCACCATCAGGGAGAGGAGGCATCTATCCAGAAATCCCAATTATACTGATGGAAAGCTCCATACGTGGAGATCTGCTGTAGCCAGTGGCATTTCCATGGATAGTAGCTATTGCTAGACAGGACATTCCACCATGGAACAAAAGAGAGGCACAGGTGCCTTTGGATTTGTTGGATCCAACGTCCTTTTGTTCACTGGAGATATCCCAGAATCAACTCTCTCCCTCTCTGCCAACTTGGAAATGGTATGGTCTAACCCCAATAAGTACCAATGGGGGAATGGAATGAAATATAGTAGTCAAGAAACATAGGGAAGAGAAGAAAGAAAAACACCTCCAATTGTACACACCTCTTTGACCTGGCTGATACAAGCTACAAGGCTTTGAAATGCTAGATAACCTAGGACTATTGCTTCACCCCACCATTCGCTTAGGGTTGCTCTTTAAATCACTACATACTTTACATTTTAAAAATATAGAGCTTAATTCACTCTGCCCCAGCAATCAAAACCTTACAGAATTTAGATACAAAAAAGGAAAATAGAGAAAATACCTGTACTGTTTTCCCAAGTCCCATGTCATCTCCCAGAATACATCCATTTTTACGAACATAGTGACTGTATAAAAACTGGGCACCTTCCCTCTGGTAATCACGTAGATATCTATTAATTGTATAAGGGATCTGATGCCCATCCTTGGACAACTCGAAGGCAACTGCCAAGGAGGGAAGACCTCTGTCAGGAAAATAAGGCTTCTCCAAATCTTCATCATCAAATATTAAGCTTTTTTCTGCATCTTTATTCATTTTGATCCTACAAAGTTTCGCTGATAGTATTTTCTTTTCTTAAGATTCTTCAAAAGAAATCATTGCAAAAAAGTTCCCACTCTCATCTGTTTCAAATGATGTTATTGTGGCGTCACAAAGCTTTCCATTTTCAGAAAAAGGAGCAAGGCATTTATCTCCAACATGCCACCTGTCTGTAAAAAGCACATGGAAAAGAAGTAACATTTCAGACAAAGTAAAAATGCTAGTACTGTAGTGTAATCTACTCAGTATCAGCTTCTAAAAAGGTTGCTTAATATGACACACAGAAACAAGGGGAGGGGGCTGTTAGGCAAAACCACTAGAGGAGTTTTGACCTTTCTCCATTACTCAGTCTAAAGGCAGGGTAAGACATAAATCTAATTTAATAAACAAACCATAGAACTAGCCAGATTGTCATTTTGATAAGTGCATCTTTCCAGTTCTGTTGTTTTTAACAAAAACATCAATCCATGCCATTAAGGACCGCATATAAAGTAAGTTCTAAATAATAGCACTATTTAGCAATAATAGCATTTAAATAGCAATGTATACAATCAATGTAAATTAAATAAAAATATGAACAAGAGTAGGAACATTCCACCAACAAATATTCAAAAAGAACAGTTTGTGCATTCATTCTGATAACAAATGCTGGCTTAGATAGTCCAACATCTGGAGGATACAGGTTTAAAGGAATAATGTTCTTAATATCCATGTTAGCTGGGACCATGGAGCTGTTATTGAACTCATGCAGCATTCAGATGGATAGTAAAAGGACAGGAACAGAACCCCATTTCTTGGAGGAAAGCCATGGTCCTGGCAGCCATGCATTTTGGATATTGTTTAGTAAGCTACTCAGTAGTAAGTCATGTTGAATTCTATGGAATTCAAATAAATACACCTTTAATTCCCAATTAAATGGGCATGCAATTCCATCTTATAGCAATCTTTAATGAGGATTAATCCTACTTATTTAAGTGGATCTTAATGCCAAGTAAAGACACCTAGGATCACACTGAGTAAGACTTATGGACAATTAAATGGAGAAAGCTCTCACTAAACTTAGCTGTGCTTGTCTGAGTAAACAGACCAACTACTAAGATGTTAAATGGTTTAATTTAATAATATATAATGAAGGCCCTAGCCTTATTTTCTCCTTGAAGGCTGCTCTATCAAACAAAGAACTTACCTGCCAAATCATCACATATTTCCAGTTACTGTATATGTAAGCATGGATCTTTTGAGCACCTATAAAACTGGAAAAAGCAGGAACATGTTAAGCAGATATTATCAAATGACATTCATAATGAATTTTAATTTCCTTTGGTTTAAAGGCCAGCGGCTAAACCAAAAGAACTAAACAAAAATACTGTATAGTCCTAGAGACATACAGAAACCAAATTCAATAAACATGCACTCCCAGATACAGACATCCTTGTAAGCAAACTCCATGTTTCACCATTTAAGGTCCATAAAATTCCCATAATTTTACTGAAACATAGCTAGAAGTTGCACATAGAAAGAACATCCTGGAGGCCCTCCTAATCTTTCTCAACCAGCCAATACGCACCCTATGGTCCACTAGGAAAAAAATAAGTCTCACCAGGTGCAACATTAGCATTAGATGGATTATTTCTCACCAGCCCTGGGGCTCCCTCAGGCAAATCCTAAACCACTGTGTTCGCTCAGTGCCAACAGAATAGGCAGCTAGGCCATACCAAGAAAACACAATTTCACATCAGCAGCCGGTCACAAGATCAAGCTCTTCATTTATCCATGAGTAACAGCTTATACCATATAATAATTTAGCCAAAAGAATTAAAGACAAGCTTTCTTCACTTTCTTCAGTTTGGCTTCTTTCTAAAATGTTATGTTTTTTTCTTTAAATATATGCCCTAAAAAATTAAGGGACATGGCTGTAACCTCATGCTCTAGTCTACAGGAAGCCTTTGTGACCTGAGGTTCTCCAGAAGGTGTTGAACTGCAACTTCTACCACTGCCATCTCTGGCTATTTTAGTTAGGGCTAATGGGGGATTATAGTTGAACAATATCTGAAGGACCAGAGGTTGCCTACAATTGTATCAAAAGATCTTGGATATGAGGGAATAGTAGTAAGTCAGAGGTCAAGATGCCTTGTCCTTAACCCTGTCCCTTTCAGAAAGAATAAGACTGGTATCTTCAATAATTATGGGGTAAGTAAACTGGAATGAGAAAGAAAACGTGTCCTATAGTCAGTATTTGGAATTCTTTAGTACAGTATTTAGAAGACATCCAAGGCAACAAACAAAATATAAAAATAAAAATATTATAATGATACGTATAAGCAAAATTTTGAATAAATAAATCATTATGTACTCAATGAAAATAAAATACTTTTAAAACTTCAACTCCTTTAATAAAATACAAATAACCCAATCAACAATTACAATACTTTAAAATACAGCCAGTTTTATTTTAAATAAGCTTCAGATCCTTAGCCATAAGACACTCAACAGCTCTCCTGACCTCATTAAAATTCTCTGTTGTAGAATCTGATTACTATTCTGCTCCATTTTTTAAAATAATCAAGATAGACCTTTGGTCTAATCCAGCAGAATGCCACTGTTTTCTTAAATAACCTTGTTTCCAAGGTCTGTCCACTTAATTAATGGATATGCTCTGAATTAGAATGGAGAGACCCAAGATTCCACATCACAATATGGTCTTCATCCTTAAACAAAAAGGACAATACATAGCACATGTTATAGCAGAGACTTTTCTGTTTCCTGTAGTGGCCACCAAACACTTCTAGAAAGCCCACAAACAAGAAAGGAGGAGAATAGCCCATTCTCCATTGTACTGTAGATCCTTTAGAGTAGGGGTCCCCAACCTTTTTCACCCCGTGGACCGGCTGATGAAGGCGGGACACCCTCTGCACTTGTGTGCCTGCGTGAACGAGTGTGAGTGCTCTCTCGCATGAACGAGCGCGCTATCATGCACATGTGCAAACGGCAATGCGGCACTTGTGCGGAAGGGTGCACTGTCATGCACATGCACAAATAATGGTGCAGCACTTGTGCAGGCATGGGGGCGCATGCGCAAACAGCAGTGCAGCACTCACATGGGTACACTGGAGCATGTACACATGCGCAAATCAACTGTGCAGGGGTGAGTACATGCAGGGGGTGGGGTGGTAGGTCTGTCTCCGCAGCCCGGTCCACCTCAGGCCACAGACTGGCACCAGACCGCGGACCGGGGGTTGGGGACCTCTGCTTTAGACTGCATTTAAAGGTACACTCCATTTTGTTATTATTCATTAATTAATCTAATCACTTTTGAAGTCCCATCTTCCTATATTGTGGCAGGGATTCCACATATATATATAACGGGCTCTGAGAAAAAGTTGGACCCTTTGGCATAACTTGGTTATGACAGTAATGAGATGAATGCATTAAAAATGTAACTATCAATTGAGTAGGGGCAGTATAGGACAAACAGGCAGGAGTGGACAGGGACAATATAATCCTTTCTCCTTTGTCCTTGCAAGAAGCACATCCCAAAAGGTGCTGGGGGTGGACTCCATCTCTGTCATAACCGTTCTGAATAGAGATGGGCACAACTTGTGCTTCAGCCCAGTTTGGCACAGTGCTCAAATTAGTGTTCCATGGGCACCACACACTTCTCTCCCCCGCCTCCTCTGTGTGCTCACCCACTCACTGGCTTCAGCACACTTCCCTTCTCTGCCTTCTCCTGTGCAACTGTCCACTCAGACAAGGAGGCAGGGCAGCTCATTGTACTGCCAGTGAGTGGATAATCGCACTGAGAAGGCAGAGGAGGGAAGCACACTGCAGATGGTGAGTAAGCAAGACAGCAGAGGTGGTGGGGAAGGAAAGCATGCAGCACCCAAAGAACACCTGTGCAGGCGCTGTGCTGAACCAAGCCGAACCATGGTTCATGCCCATCTCTAGTCCTGAATTTCCTACCAATCAGTGCTACTGAAGGGTCCTGCTCTTCCCGTCTTATGAGAGGTGAGAACACTATGATAACCTAATTTTTTAATTTTATCTATTAGCCTGGTGCTTGGCATATTTCTTTCCATTGTTCTCTGAGTTTTTGCAAGCTTTCCCATTACTGGTTTTGTTAAAAGATATAAAAGAACAAATAGTATCATTAAAATTAAGATGGGTGGCTCATACATTGAGGCAGTAGATGAGCAATGGAATATATACATCAGTGGCAACCTTGAATTAGAAGGAGCAGAGGAAGACTGCAAAGTGGATTTTAAAAGATCAGCGGGATTGGTATGGATTAAGTTAGTGCAGAACAGAAAACGTTGGAAGCAAAAAGAACAAGCCTGTATACAACACTGGATGTCAATGGGTAATAAAGGAGAAGATGACAACTATGATAAATATAAAGGATGACATTGGTGTGGTAATATAAAAAAAGGATGAAACAGATCACCAAAGAACAAAAGAGCACAATATTTTGCCTAGAGCTGTGTATGAATGTTACAATTTATTTAATTTAATTTAACAGTCACTTTCTGTACTATACATCATCTTATAAATTTCTATCATACTGGTTATGAATTTGCTTTTCCTAAATTAAAAGTCTGGTATCATAAATACTGCATTCTGCCATCATTTTAATTGCACTTACTGATACTGTATATCCTATAATATTCACCCTATTCAAATACTGTATGTGTTTTACACAGACTTTCGATGGGTCCAGACTGGCCATTTTGGTGTGGTCTGGATGAAGCTACAAAGACTTGGTTGAGGTTCGGGGAAGAAGCAATGTGCCATTTCCTGTGCTCCTATCTGAACAGGAAACAACCCTCTGTAGTACTCAAAGGCTTTCACGGCCAGGATCTGATGGTTGTTGTGGGCCAAACAGTCCAGAAAACCTACAACCAGCCCTTTGTAGCCCTATCCATTTTCAATTAAGCACTTCCCCTGATCATCTGTACAGGGTCAGAGGAAGTGATATAGTATTACGTCTGCTGCTAGAACATTGCTGATGTAATGGATCATTTTGCTTGAATTTAAAACTAATTCTTTGCCAATCAAGAAACTGCCCACAATAGTTGTGCAGATCAAGAAACTGCCTGCACCATGGTTTCGACTGGAAACACAAACGGGCATTTAAAAAAAAACAAATTAAAAGACGTGATTCATCACACCAGCGACTATCTAGCAGACCTTTAAAAAAAAAATCCACTTCCCCTGCCCATCTGCAGACGATCAGCCTGAGAGGACCAACCTGACCTATCACTGCAGCAAACACGGGTCAAATGCCCGTGTGAACGGCCTCATATTGTGAAGCAGTCTCTCAGAAACCATCATTAAAGGCCACCAAGCCCAGTCTCCCACGCTTCTCAGAAAACGAGCCCCTCTACGTTCAAACGGGGTTCCTCCCATGTAAGCATACATAAAAGTCACAGCCCTTTTCTCTGGCGCAAGAGGCTCCTGCACAAACATAACTCCCGGTATCGGGGGGGGGTGGCAAATCTGCACCGAGGAGAAAGAAAAACCCGGCCAGCCCCGAGACAGAACAGCCTCTCCTCCTGCACCGCGCGCGCCTAACGCTACACGTTCACGCGCCCCCCTCACCGATGCCGACGCTTCCGCTTTTTTCTCGGGATTTCAGCACCAGCCCTAACTTCGCACGTCGAAAAGGCCGACGAAGTATCGCGAGAATACATGTGTCTTCTCGTACCCTGGTCTGGAAGACAGCCCGCTTTTTCCTTTCACGATGAAGCCACCATAGACTTCTAAGAGATAGAGTCGCGAGTAGAATTTTGGTTTCCCTTTTCCCGGAGCGAAAAGGAGAGCTGCCCGTAAAACTCACATAGAGATCCACGGGAAATTCCTATGATTTATTAAATGTTGCAATTAGATGACGGCCGGCTTCTTACCCGTGGCTTCACTCTCGGTTATAAACCATGGATATTAAATCCAGACATTCCTATTATTTCTACTTTATGACGGAGGTTATTAGCTTGTGACTCTTCAATTTCGTGACTCTATGGGAATTATACGCGATGTTAATACTGTACACATAACGCTACCAATTCTCGCGATCAGAAAGATTTTGTCTGCCTGAGTTTGGTTAGAACAAAATACAGTACAGTACTGTAGAAGTAAAAGGAAGCAGACAAATTAAAAAGAAAAATGTGGTGGTACTTTAAACACTAAGTGTTTGTTTAGTCTTCTTTGCGCTTTCTTAGGGGACGTTTACAAAGTTATTTTGCTTTTCCTCTGCATTTTTTGCGTGTAGTTGGAGAGTAGAAGCAATACTACAACCCAGAACCCCGTTAAACCCTGTGCAATGGGCGGAGGAAGTTTGGCTTTACTATATATTTTTTTTCTTTTAAGAAAATTAGTCACAAATCTTACAGTCTAAGAGATTAGCATACAAAGGGAAACGCTCACGCAGCAGAAAAATAAGAAAAGCTTTGTGCTACTTTGGACTTTGCTTCTGTTACAACGACTACTATTATAATTTTTTTAAAGAATGTACAGAATGGTAGAGGATGCACGAAGTAGCAACAATAAGAATTGATTGCCACAAGTAGTAACAATAAGGATTGATTGCCACATCTGTCCTACAAATCTTAGCATTTGAAGGTAATAAACAACATCTACAGACATACATCCAAATTGTCTTTGAACCCCAAGAAAACGCCTTAAGCCTCCCCTAAACCTGCCTGTTGACTATAAAGCACCCCCCATTCAATCTCAGCATGCCTACTCACAGGCAACAGTGAGAAGTATCACAGTAGTCATGTCTATTCTTATAAGCTTGGGCAGCAAATTTTGAGAATATCCTGAACCGAACGTTTCCATAGACTATTATAATACTTATGATAATCCACATAAAAGCCACCTCTTTGATAAGCTTGGGCAGCAGATTTTGAGAATATCCTGAACCAAACTTTTTCCATAGACTATTATAATACTTATGATAATCCACATAAAAGCCACCTCTTTGTTCCAGCACTAGGCGGCGTGGCAGGGGGAAGAAAACTGATTCGAATCAGAGTGCAACACAGTGCATGTGGGAGGGGGGCATCCACTACCTGGGGTCAGAAATCCATGGTATTCCATGCCTAGGGTTGCAGAAATTGACCCTCCTCCAGTGACATGCACAGCTATCTCCCAAGCATGCAAACATACTGGCAAGACTTGTTTACAAGACCCTACATTGAAGGCCTCTCCAACTTGCCTTCTCACTCCTGCATAGGTTCCCTCACCTTTGTGCTTCCCTCCCTGGGACACCTTCCCTTCACCTTTGTATTGCGGCCCTACCACTGATCTGTCCGTATCTGCGCAGGATGAAATGGAGAGAATGTTGTTTTCTTGGCACATGCTGTACTAGCAGGGAGAGAGTACCATTCCAGGGAGGCAGCAATAGCATTCTTGACCAATGTCTTACCTTCCTTGATTCCCCTGCTGCCTTTTTCATTGCTACAAGAATATCCTGACCACGCACAGCCACTGCACATGTTCAGTTAGCACTCTTCCCCCACACAACCAGCAACAAGGGAGGAAGCAGCTAGGGAAAGGGGGAGGAGAGAGAGAAAGGAAACAAGTGCAGCATGCTGTCACACACCACTTAATTTGGGGGGGATGGGTGTTTGGGAGGGAGGCAATGTTTTATTTTTATAAATACTGTATATTACTAAGTAGGGTAGATGGAGTGGGAGGAGATTGCTACCATGCTCATCTCTAATGATGGGCATCACAGTCTCTGGAACTGCTGGATAGCTCAGGGGTTTAAAGCATCTGTGGAGCCAGAGGTTGGGAGTTTGTTTTCCCCACTGTGCCTCCTTGACAGGGGTTGGACCCATAGGGTCCTTTCTAGCTCAGCAGTTCAAAGATGACGATGATTATTAAGTAGTAACTCCTGTTGAGTTCAATGGACATACTTATTGTTCCATGTAAATTGATGTACTTCCTTGTCAGCTTAAGAAAGGAAAAAAGTGGCACGTGTTCGTAACAAAGTACATGCAGGTATTTCCTTTAGTTATGCATTTTTTCAATTCTTATATTTCTGAGGATGAAAGAAAACTTTTTGCACTGTATTTCATGTGTGCTATATTCTTCTACTATGTTCCTTCACAAAGTATCCTGATAGACCGGATTTTATGTGGACATGTTTATGCTGAACATGTGCCAATCAATTCTAAGCAAGTATACTATTATTGAATTAGATTTTCTGATAAGGAAGTATATCCTGAGATTTTACACCTTATCTTTAACAAGCTACAGAAGTTTCCATTTTTGAGACTGTCAGAGCAATTTTCTGTTTAAAAAAACCCACATGTATCCTGATGCTTATGAACCACCCACAGTATAGTCCATCTCGATCTCAGTTCCTCTTTCCCCACATTTGCAGAAAAAGGTTCCGCTGACCCTTGCAGAAGTGGAAAACCCCCTTATTTTAAACAAGGAGTTCTCCAACTTGCATAACTGCAAGTGAGAGACTACCAGGGCAAATATGGAACACCCTGGCCATGAAGCTCTTAAGTTCAGCGTTTGATAACAGGATTCTGTCAAATGCATATTTTTGAAATCTAACCTTGCAAATCTTTCTTCAGCAGGGTGGGCTGGTCTACAAGTAAAACTCCCTTTAGACAAAAGCCTTTTTAAACACCATGTGAATCGCTGTCACCCTTATGAGACATGTAAGCCCCTTCTTTTTGACTTAGAGAAATAAAATTGGGAGCAGCAGTAAACTTATCAGTTAAGCAAGAGCAGCTTTGCCAACTTTTTTATCCAACTTTTTATTGAGTGTTACAGTCACAAGCTATGCATAGTGATAACTGTTTCCTGAACATAGCTTTGCTCTCAGTTTTTCATTTTAAAAAGCTGGAATATTATTGCTTTATCTGAGAAAGCTATTGTGAGTTTAGGCAAGATAAAAATAAAAAATTGTGATAAAATATCAAAAATAATTCATAATACTGTACTGTAGAAAATATCTGTATTGCCTATTCACAGTACTAAACATTCACAACAATAATCACACCAGTATGACTATAGTATTGATTTACAGTCTTATACAGTACTGGAAATTGATTTCCAGTTCAAAATGCAATTACTTGATCCATTTATTCTTAGAGATAAGCATGTACTTAACATAAACGATGAAAGACAGTTTATAACTTGTTGATCCTCTGAACATGCACCATCAGAGTTTTGTTACAACATATTGAAAAATCTGCTCAGATTTCATGCTGTCCATTTTGGATTGGAGGGAAGTTGTTTATAAATGAGAAGTGATATGGTACCAGTAAATTGATCCTGGCCAGTACAGATTTCACTGCGTTTCTTCCAGAAAAATATCACAAGGAACGTTCTGTTTCTTAAATGAAAACAGTGAGCACAGGACAATATTTAATAGAGACACTAACAGTATTAATGAGGAGATTGGCCCTGACCTTAAGAAATATATTGCTGCATGGTATATCTTTTAAAGCGAGGTAGAGTCTGGGCTGCATATCTGTTAGGGTTTTTTTAAGCATTTTTCCACTCTGAAAAAAAAAACAGAAATATTCTGTGTTCAATGTTTTTTTAAAAAAAATGCATTGTTTTTATGGTTTTGTTTTAATGTTACTGCATGTTTGCATTGACAATTTTGTTATATTTTACTAAATGGGTTCTTATTTGACCTTAGATCCTGTGAGGAAGAGTGACAAATTTATCAAATGTAATGGCAATGATAATTGTCACCATTATCATCATTTGAGAAATACAGAGCTGGAAGGGATAATCTAGCCAAACCGCTTTCAGGAGGCACAGTGGGGAATCAAACTTCCAATCTCATTTTACTGACCTTAGAAGAATAAAAGAATGAGCAAGCTACCTGAACCTGTTGGGATTGCACTCGGGTCATTTGCCACCAAAATACACACTGGGGTTGAACTTAGATTGTAAGCAGAGGTTTGACTGCAATACTGCAGTTTGACCATCATACCATGGGGCTCACTGATATATTGTATTATGTAAGAGCAAGTGTAAATTGGGGGAGTGAGAAATAGATCCTGATTGCTGTTCACTTAGTACCTTTACAGTGGGATCCCAATGTGATGTAGTGCAGGGGTCCCCAACCCCTGGTCCGCAGCCCGGTGCCGGTCCGTGGGCTTCCTGGAACTGGGCCGCGGAGACAGATCTCCGCCTCCCCTGCATACACGCACAGTGGGCGTGTCGCGCTTCTGGAGGGCTGTGTCATGCTCGTGGAAGGGCATGACACGCCCTTCGCGAGCATGACACGCCCACCTGTGAGCGTGACACACCCACCCACAAGCACGGGGTTGCCCCCACCCCACCCACGCACGGAGCCCACACACCCCACCTTGTCCGCAGTCCCAAAAGAGTTGGGGACCGCTGGTGTAGTGGATAGAGTGATAGACTAGGACTCTGGAGAACAGGGTTTGAATCCCACTCAGCCATGGGAAACTGTCAGTGGGAGTGCAGCTGATAAAACCACTCCTTAAATATTTCATTTACTTTTTCTTGAAAACCCTATTAGGATTGCTACAAGTTGGTTCCAACCTGTCAGCAAGTAACAACAACATATATTTCATCATAATAATGTAAGTCATTTTAAATTTTTCTTTATTTTATTGTTCCCCAATGTGATGTGGTGGATAGAGTGAAGACTAGGATTCTGGAAACACTGTTCAAATCCCTGCTTGACCAGGGAAACTCACTGGGGGATATTTTAAAACCCATCTGTAAATATCTTACTTGTCTTGAAAACCCTATAAGTTTCACTATAAGTCAGTTTCAACTTGAGGGCACAGAATATGCAGTACACAGTACTTTCAGCCATCTCTGTGTACAGTACACAGTACTTTCAGCCATCTCTGTGGACAGGAATGTGATTCCTTCATTTGGGCTGAATACTAAGCAAGTGGTCAAGAGGAAGACACAAGGTACTTCCAAATTAGGCTCTTATTGTGAAATCGTGCTGCTTTTTTTTGTTGTTGTTGTTTGTTTTGTTTTTTGTTTTAATTTGACATCAAGAGGAAGACACAAGGTACTTCGAAATCAGGCTCTTACTGTGAAATCGTGCTGCCTTGTTTTTTTGTTGTTTGCTTTGTTTTTTGTTTTAATTTGACAAGGATTTCACTTGACAGTGTCTTCCACTTGGAACCCTCCCATTTTCCCCACAAATTCTTGGATCCTTTTTCTTTCCAGGGAACATTCACAGAAGTATCTTTTAATTGATAGCTCTCCCTGCTTCGAAGCACCCAGTGTGGGCAAAGAGGTCTCATAGTTGTAAGAATTACCCAGTGTGTGATTTTGTGGCAAATCATTATCTAAGCTTTGGAACTGAATGCAGTTTCCTCACATGTTCCATACTTAGGCTTTTATGCTGTGGTTATCCTGGCGTAACACTGGCAGCAGAACTTTTGGAGGTGAAAGCCTCAAGTGAAGAAATCAATGTAGATGCTATCTGTTGTATAATGTGTCCTGCAGCTCAGCACCTAACAGATAATATCTATGCTGATTTCTTAATCTGAGGAAATTTGCCTCTAAAAATTACACAATTAGTATTATATCTGTGTAACTACGCAGGAGGATTTTAGCCTATATAAATGCCTATCTGTAACGTGACACTGATCAGGCTTTTAGTTAAAATATGCCTGGCCCATCAGAAGTGCAAATTGTAATATTCCATGGGCATGAAATGTTTGTTCTTCAGCCGGTGTAATCTTGAAGACCTCTTTTCTTCTGCATATGCTGTGACGTACTGATTCATTTCCCAACTGAGTCTGTTTAATCACTGACCGGAAATCTCATTCTTAAATAAATATTATCTATAAATGGATCATGTCAGCAACACTCAACGTACATGGTTGCCTGGAACAGGACTACATAATAATTCTTTCCCAATTTGTAGCAGATCTTTTATGTGAAATGGTCCTGCATCTCTTAAAGCATGTGAACACTTAGAGGACTAGTTAAAAAATCTCACTTGTATGGTGACTCTGGTTCCATTGAACTAATGTAATTAATTATCCTTCTGAGAATTTTCTTTTATTAAGTGTTACTCACTTTATTTTATTTACATTTTTTAAAAACATCATCTTGGAAACAGAACACTGTATTGCATGAGGCATAGCTGTTTTAGAAAACGCTTTATGGTGATCATAAATGACATTTACCCTCTAAAAATCCTGAGGAAATAAAGTCATCACTTTATCAGATAACCCCAGTTGCCCACTTGCTCAATGTTCTGTTTATAGTGATAAATAATATGTAATACTATGATTTTTTTAAAAAAGTAGGTGTACTTTCTGGGGTTTTCGGTGGCTGTTGTTTCTTCTTCATCCCACTATGCTTTTGTGCAGCTAGAGATCTTTTGTGTGTGAATGAACTAACATAATTGACCCTTTTAATTTTGATTTAAAATGTGCCAACTGTTTGAAATGAGCAAAAGCTTTTTGTACCAATACAGCTAGGTTATCTGCTGGCAGAACTGCTATACTGTACAGTGGCGCCTCGC